TTGTATGCTTAAATTAATGGATTTATAATTGTAGAGCCTGAAGAAGAATTTATTGAAAACAATTGTTCCCTCTAAATATTTTGTTCTGAAAAGAATATTCTTCATTCAGATTGATTTTTTAATTCATAATATGGGAATATTTCACACTATCAAATCTTATAACTCTCATGAGATATACTATTACCTTTGATATTTGGTTTGAACGATCTTCATTGTTATTTTGACTTTCAATATGTCCTTTTAAGTTGAACTAAGTCTATATTTTTTTCTCACCCCTTAACTCTTTGTTATATATAAGCTGAGTGGATTTTGTAAATTCTGGTGTTAACAATACTTTGATAAAGCAGCTATTAGCAGCAGCATTTAAGATAGCGAAACGTCAGTAAAAACAGCAATATCGTTTTGTTTTTCATTCATTGGGCAATACAAACACCTCTATTATAATGAATATCATATACCCAATGCCCAAACCGTTAAAATTGAACTTAGTTTGGACATATATAGTTTTGTTTTACATTACTTATATTGAATTAGAAAGTTACCCTGTTTGTATAGCTGCCTTATGGAAGCGTTGAAGTAATTTTGAGTTTTTATGTTATGATTGTTGAATAGAACCACATAGATCTACCGACGAATAATCGTCTTTTTGTTGTCTTTTGGAGCGTTTTGTGAATGTGCTGATCTCAAGGAAAATTGGGATAGATATAAACAGTAGAACTCAAAGCTTGGTTTCCTGAATTTAGACTACAAAAATCGATATTTTTTTTTGGTTACAGGCATTCATCAACAAAGTATATCTCTGATGATATTACATGGTTGGAAGCAATCGTCAGGAAGCCTTGACTAGACCTAGGTTTCGAACGAGTTGGGAATTACCAGTCAGCAGGGCGTACTTGTAACTTGGAAGGAACTCATATCCCTTATGGGATTCGAACTCGCGTCAGCTAGTGCAGCAGTCAGATATATTCCGGCAAAGTTAAACTTTCGACACCACTAACAACCAATCAGCAAACGACCTTGAACGAACCAATTACATTAAAGAGGCATATATGATGAATGGAAATGTATATTTATAGAAAAAAAGCAGAAAATAGAGAATGAAAAAGTTACATGGGATATCTTTCTCGAACATGTGAGAGAAACATCTCCCATTTTAGCATGGGACTGTCAATGCTTTTCTATCTGCTATCCTTTCGACGAGTCGCTTTCGGAGGGAGGTGTCATACAAACCTATTACCTAAATATTGTTCGCTCGCTGGCGACCACGGTTGTATTTCTTTTTTGCCAGCACTGTCTCATCGACACGCACGATAACGTCTTCCCCACCCAGCAAACAAGTGATTTTCCCCATTTGCCATGATTCAATGTCTCTGCAATGCTGGTACCACTGAACTGTTGAGACATGGCTATTCTCCATCTCGGCAGCTGCTGCTCTCACAGCCTGTTTCAACACCCATTAGTTGCAGATATACAAAATCTGGGTTAGGGGGAGATGCGACCTAGCGAAAGTAAATTCCTACGAAATGTTAAAATTATCAGCTTACCCTCTCCAGATGAACAAACCCATCAGTTGATTTGGTATAACTTTTTAAAGTAATGATACCACCACACAAACAAATTCGCTCTTTCCGGAGCAACTCAAATCCAGGAAATACTGGAAAACAATAACCTCCTCGAAAAGCAACTGTAGCCTTGTAAGGTCACGCATTAGAAATGAATCAAGCGTTATACAACATTGAACTGCGTTCGTGAACCTCATTGGATAATTCGACATCGTTCGTGAATCTCACTGGATAATTCGCTGATTGGTAGTTAGTGGTGTCGAAAGTTTAACTTTGCCCACATTCCCACTGGACTATTGGGGCTCGCGATTGATCTCCTGTTGGATTGTAATAGATTCTTTGATTGGACACTAGTAACTAATTAGTGTGATGTGTCTAGTCCTTTCTTTCGTGCAAACTGATCGCACCATGATGGTCAGCTACCTAGAATGGTGGCCACATTACAAAGCTGACTGATAAAATTCAGTCGGCATCAAATAAAGGACTAGACATAGCACACTAGTTATTGGTGTCAAATCAAAGTATGGTGTATCTCTAATCTTCAAGCAACTTATTTCCTTTCTAAGATTCGAACCCGATTCACCCAGCACTGAAGTCAGAGATGTTACCACTGGGGAGTTCAGCTTCGTAGTTGAACTGTTTTAGAACGGTAATGGATACTTTGATTGGGCACTATATAGACATAAATACGTCGGTGGCACAGCGGTTAGGACTCTCGCCGACTATGCACATTGTCCGGGGTTCGATCAGCTGCCGATACACACCTGATATCTATGGTCGGCCTGCAAAATTTGGGCTACTGATATCGCATGCTGAAAATTCCATACATGCACCAAAAATACAGTGTGGAATCAAGCCGCAATCAAAAAATAACAACAACTAATGTCGTACCTTTAGTCCTTAGTACTGGTGCAGATTTCTACTGTCAGTCAAAGCTTCACTTCTTACTTTAGTGTGGAGTAGCTCGCTTCAGCGATCCAACTCAGAGAATACTAACCCACCACAAATATTCATCTGAGCTACAAATTTCCGCCATTATTTGAAAATGAACTAGTTCATATCTAAATTCTGATAACCTCCTAAAGTAGGTTCTTGAACAATGGACAGACATTATTTATGGAACTAGTGAAAGCCTTGTAGCTATGCTAATCTGTCTTGTCTTAGTGCTGAACTCTTTAACACAACGTACACAAGCCACACTATTAAGGATATATTCAGAACCGTCAGATTATCAGAGGGGAATACCTTACTGATAGGAACCAACATAAAACAGTATAGTATATTATCCTTTCACACGGATCGTGTGATTTATCATCTGATGGAGTTCCTCTGTGAATGTTTCATTTCTCACGCATATTGTGATTTAGTGTGTGTGTGTGTGATCAATTCATCGTCTTTTGTCTTACCTTGGTCGTTGTCAGACCACCAACGAATCAGGGTAGACATTTCCAACCAATAAGAACAATCGATTCCTACGGTCGTGAGCTGAATTTATTATGGTTAAGAAAATGTATAAATATCATGTGTTGTTTCTTAAACTATATAGTGTAATATAGTACGGTATAATACAGTATCTTACAGTCACAGACCAGTCTTTGTCCTTTGATATTCACGTGGCTCAGTGAACCGGAAGGCACAACGGACAAATAGGCATATTTGATGGAGGATTTCATCATGAGCTGACATCAGTTAGAGAACCATTGGAAAACCAGCCACATGGAGTACTAGACAGCTGTTTTTTCCTAGCTTGGAACTCTTCATCAGCACAAAACAACTGTCCAATACTCCCTTCAGGTTTCCCAATGGTTCTCTAACTGATATCAGCTCATGATGAAATCCTTCATGCAATCAAACAAAATCCCTCCAAAACCAGTACTTGAAAACAGATATATTAGCGTATCAGCCAAGTTTATTATCGTTATAGTAATTAACAGGCTCAGACATAACAAAGTAGCAACGGCGTTTATTCACTTCAGTTTAGTTATAACACTTACAGTCCGGTTAATCGGTTGGAATTTAAAATGACGAAGGAATTGTGGCTTTTGTTGATCAGAGATATTGTATTACTAAAATCTGACGTCATGTGTGAATTTCTGTCATTATATCTGACTCAGTCAAATTTTATGTGACACAAATTCTTCTCATTAAGATTATCGGCAACAGTAAAGAATAGACATCAAAGAAAAATGACCTTGAATCAGCCAATCAGATTCTTTCAGTTAAAAAGTGGCATAAAATCAATAAAAAATCCCGTATTTATAACATATATATGTAATAAAAATGAATTGTACTGGATAAATATCTCTAATATGCTGCAAAAGCTGGTCCTAGTTTCTCATAGGAGTGGTTATAGACATACTAAACCAATGTCGATACAAAAACTCATTTAAATGGCTATATACCACATTACTTCGGGGACCGTTTAATATTCTGATACGTTTTTTGAGGTGAGCTCAAAATCCTTCAATGGAATTTGTATGTGTTTCTGTTACAGGATCCACCAGTCCAGAAGAATGGTTGACTTCGTGGTGAATATAGCCTAGTGATGGCAACTGAGAATAACCTCTCCATTCGTCTGTGTGAATAGTAGTTCCTGGGAGGATTAGTCGTTGTATAATTGGTATTATCACATCAGAACTTCTGTTCGGGATGTGTTCCACAAAGCCTTTACGAAGACTTTGTGTCGTAAAGTCCCAGCACCCAAACATGATTTGCTCTGCTCCTGTCTCGATTCATTTTTCGCTTAATAAGTACAGTTTCATCAATATGCACGACGACGCCAACTTCCCCTAGTATAGAGGTGATACCATTTAGCTTTTGTGACGCAATATAACGGCCTTACTGATATCACTGCACTGTTGAAATCTTTGTGCTCTCCCTTTCTGCAGCTGTAGCAGATACTGGTCGCTTTAGTAGCCAGTTGTGGCATATACGCAGTATTTTATTAAGCGACAATTTGGATGTACGACTTATCAACTCGCACAGATTTCCTCAAGTAACAAAGGTTGCATCTAAATGCGTAGCCGTCAACAGAGTCATTAATCCCTCCACACATACAGGTTTTAAACCCCCCTATCAACCCATTTTCCACACAGAGGAAGTCAAAAACTAAATCTGGGTGAAATCTGCAACAAAGTTCATGAACCGCATCCATTTTGAATGATGAACGATCTGATTGGTTGCTTCAAGGTCACTTTTCTTTGGTGTCTATTCTTTACTCCTGCCAGGTTATCAGAAGAGGTTGTTGTATATCATTCGTGCGGGAATTTCAAAAACCCTTTTCACATTGAAGTTGGCGCTTAATAAATTACCTAGGAGATTGATGAAAGTTCCGCGAATAAAACAACCCAACTCAATGTCATCAACAATTTATGCCCATACAGAAACCAGTTGATTATATATATATATAAACACTTTATTAAAAAATTCACCACTAACCGGATAGCTTGGATGATAAACACGTTCAAAATTTGTACATCCATCATAATATGAAGTTATCGGCAATGGTGGAGAAGTACACTTTCGTGTTATTCTATCTGATTGACATTCAAACCATATTGGGGGTTTTCCTAAAGTAGGATTACAACATTTTAACATTCTAGACGGTGGCTGACCAGCACTAGGACATTGACATATACAAGTAGATTGATTTAACCAATTGCATGTAGAATAATCTTGTGAAGCATTCAACTGACACAAATGAACTTGTCGACGTACTAATAGATTGACAATACTACCGATTGGTTTTATCCGAAGAATAGAAACTATCTGTGCTTGAGTTTTGCCTATAACATCCAAATGATCAATCTGTTGGAAATATTTAAAAGTAAAAATAAACAAAGGAAAAAAAAATTAGAAAAAATATGAGGGTAAATTGAAATCAAACTTTGTAATCAATAATGAATTACAGACAAAACGATGAAAGTATCTTCATACTAGTCGTCTGCAAACTGTACAGAAATAATTAGATCGGTTACAGGATTTTATCATGAGCTGACATTGGTTACAGAACTATTTTGGAAAACCTGCTAGGAAGGACTGGACAACTGTTTGGTCCTAGTTTGGGAGTGCGAAGTTCAACAATAGCGTCCCAGGAGTGTGAACGCTCCAATGACCTTGAACGCATGCTAGTCGTTTGGCTGACGGCACCATCTGTCATTATCATAGCTGAAATATCAAAGCTATTCACCAACTTGAGAGCAAATTTCACCCAGATCACGTTTTTAAGTATTGTTTGGACGGTATGTTAATAGCTCATTAGGGTTAGGATTAGGGTTAAGGTTAGAATGAAGGTTATAATTAGCATTAGGGTTAGAATTACGGTTTGGATAAGGGTTATGATTAGGGTAAGGATTAAGGTTAGGGTTGGTGTTAGGGTCAGGATTGAGCTTATGCTTACGATTAACGGTAGATTTATAGTTGATGTCATTTATTTTAACTTGTTTTATTATCCACATTTCCCTGGCAAGTAGTCTTCTGTCCTATTACTGGAAACCATAATAATTCAACCGATGACTTTTTTGGAAGACTCCAAGCAGGATGAGAGAGATGAACGATTTACAAAGACAATTTATCTGTAGTCATCTCGGTGAATACATGTACAGAAACTAGTCTAACTTAGCAACTGTTACTCTTCGTCATAACTAGGACGTATTTTTAAGCCATATCAGAGAAAGATAACCTGTTTAATGCGTTTTCAAGCGTTTTCTTGTCAATATACACATCATTTTTTTGAGCAAACATTCCTCATTTTTATGTTTGGTCAGCTGAAGGTCACTTGTGCATTCTCACTCCTGGGACGTTGTTGTCGAAGTTTGCCATTTGGGACTCTTCATCAGCACGCACCCACCATAAGGGTTCGATCCCAGAACCTTCTGGTTACAAGGCGAGCTCATAGACCACATCAAGCCACTGGAACCCTATCCAATGGTCAACCCATGAATTCTAACTTCTGCCAATTCACGACATAGCGCAACCGCTAGCCAATGTCTTCGGCGAGTATTTGTCTTCACGCCCAACCTGCTGCATCCTACGACTTGACGACTTCCCGCTGGAACCCCAGGTAACTACCTACCTGAATAGGGCAAGTTGCTAGTGAGCATCTCATCGGTATTTAAGTATTGGTTTGTAGGGATTTTGGTGATTTAAGACAAATTCTCACCAAAGACATTGGTCCGCTAGCCAATGTAACCAATCAACCGAATCCCTACAAACCAATATTTGAATAATAAGATTCCAGAAAAAATAGGATGAAATTGCTATATTTTGCTTTACGTCATGATCGAAATGGTTACGAAGAGTTGGCTACAGACTCGCGCTGATCAAAACTACTTCTTGACTGCGCCAACAATAACATTATACAACAGTTACCTGTTGTTTCCCAGCCCGCATTGCTTAAACCAGAACACACAGTAATAATGTATGTTTCAAAATATTACCAATGATGTGTCAGTTAGCCTATAAAATAATGATCAATAAAATAGTGGGCGTTATTCTACTGAGGCTAAATTCTGATTGGTTTATTTCCAGACTGGATATTGATCATTTAAGTTGGGCAATCCTGATTGGTTTATTTTCAGAATGGACCATTTCAGAAATAATGACAATATATAGAAGTTTATTTTTCATATAACCATCGAGAGTGGCATGACGGGCATACATTGTACCAACAAGAAGACTGTAGAGAACCTAAACCTCACAAATGATTTTTGTCTAATATCTCACAAGCTCGCAGGTCTGTAGGCGAAAACTGACAATTTGGCAGAAGTGCGCGGCGAAGACAGGACACAGAGGAAACTGTGGGTACAGTTATATTAACTGTTAACAGTTAATATAACTGTACAACACTGTGTGATTTATAAAAATAAAATCTTATCCATAATGGAGTTATACTCTACAGCCACAGTGCCCAAGTTTTATACTTATATCAAAACTGTAGGTGATGGAGATACCTAAAAATCAACAAACACCAATAACCATGAATCAGAGATTTTTTGGCAGTATCATTTCAACTACAGGAGGCAAATTAGAGGATCTCAAAATCAGCGAGGATCAGAACAGCAAGAGAGACAGACCTTCATCATTGATTTGATGTCAGTGAAGAAATCTGCTGCACTTATCATTAGGAGCAAGATCAGAGTTTTCGACAACAGTATCAAGAGAATTTCTACGTGCGCGTGTCATAAGAGGCATTTCCGAAAGGCTACAGCTGACAATATTCAGCAGATGCTTAGGATCACTACTGATGATCAGAAAGTCGGAAAAAATAAGGATTAAGGAGCTCAACAAATATTCAGAAAGAAATGTATTGGATATACGCTGAGGTGACTTCCAAATGACGTCACGCACTAGACATATCTGAGGGCGTGGGGAAGAAATAAGCGCTTATGGGCAATTTTGAAGCACGCTAAAAGGGATTGTGGAGAACAGGGTGGAATACCGGTATGCTGTAGCAGCCGTTTGTTCGATTCGGAGACCAAGGAAATAATAAAAAAACAACAACAAAAATCGTAGCTTTTAAAATTTTGCTGACTTGTATGATGGTTAGTTTAATCTTTTACATGTTTCATCTGTCAAGTTGTTTAGAATAATTCGGTATTGTTGTAGTTTCTGACTTCATATGAATTGGAAATATCTAATTTTTAATTACTCTCAAAGGTGTAATAATTAGATATCTACATATATCTGCATACACAGTATCTGCTCTGGTGAGTAATTTTCAGTCACTAATGTTATCGACGACAGAGTGAAAAATGTTTTTATACAGTAATTGCATATATTCTGCATAGTCTGTTATTCTGATAGTAGGCAGCCTTACTGCCACCGATAATATTTCTAATTGTGGTAGGTTGGAGTATGAGAGAAGATTGAGCGTGCGAAGAAATATTTACTTTTCAATTAGATCCTCATCTCACTGTGGCTCTATTCTAATTTACATGTATAGCACTTTTTATTACAATACACAACAGTTTACCAATCATCAAGTGGCACTGAGATGTTTGTTAACAATAATGTGCGTCAGTGGCACAGTGGTTAGGACTCTCGCCGACCATGCACATGGTCCGAGGTTCGATCCCCTGCCGACGCACACTTGATATCTATGGTCGGCCTGCAAAATTTGAGCTGCCGATATCCATGCTGAAAATTCCATACTTGTACCAAAAATACAGTGTGGAATCAAGCAGTAAATCAAAAATAATTAGTCAGTGTCAAAATGTTTACCAGTTGGACTGCAGCTGTGGAGCCAGCTATATCGGGAGTACAATTAGGCAGGTTCATCACTATATTTCCGAACATCATCCAGCATAATTAAGCAAGGGACAAACAAGATTTATTCGTAGCTCTATTTTAGCCCACCTTGTAGATAGTGAGCATAAGGTTGACGTTAATACTGCATTTAAAATTATTTATCGCATTCCTACTAATATTAATTTTGCTCTACGAGTTCGTCTTCTACATACAGCTGAAGCAATAGGAATCCTGTTCAGAAGAAATTTGTACAGCCACTTTCGTTACTTTGGCCATCGTTGCGAGAATGTATAAACCGGACTACTTCGCCTCCCCCCCTGTCCACCTAAACCTTCAAAAATTATAAAAATTATAACTGTCCAAATTATTTTATTTATTTTTTCTGACCACTTCATCTTTAATTTGGCTTCGTGCTTGAGCGCGCTTTTCGACTATTACGCTACATTTTGGTCATAAATAAAATCTCTTATTACTCTAAAATTTTATGCAAAGTGTTTGCGGAAATTATCACAATTATTAACCTTTCGAACACTGAATCCAAAAAATACAATCTTATTGACAGATAATACACATAACTCACTGTTTGGATTTGTGGAATTTTTAAACATAAACACATCTATAATTGTATATATTGTTGGATTTATATGTTCAAGTTGCTCCAAGTCAGTGAGTTTATGGTTAAGATATCATTTTAGTTAAATGTACTGAACTATATTGCATGTTGTCTTATTGTATAGTTGTCGTCGCTTTTTGCCCTTTTTTCTGTGAACTGTTTCCTTTGTTGATGTTGTTCTCATTGTTTGTCCGTTATTTTCTGATTTTGAGGGGAGCAACCCAAAAAGTTGCTTCTCTCTAAACTTTTACTTAATGTAATCATTCTTTTCTCAGGCGTGAGGCTAGCAACCCCACCCTGTAAACAAAAATTGCTACAGAACTTCAGTATGTGAACCTCCTTGCACCAAAAGAAAAAGTCTGTGTAGGAACATGGAACGTCCGAACTATGTACGAGACTGGAAAAGCTGCCCAGATCGCCAACGAGATGAAAAGATACGGAATACAAGTGCTGGGAATATGTGAGAGCAGATGGAATGGGAGTGGACTCACCAAATTGTCAACAGGTGAGTCAGTGATCTACTCCGGTCACCCAGAAGATAACCACACGCACACCGAGGGCGTGGCTATCATGATGTCACCAACGGCAACGAAAGCCCTGATACAATGGGAGGCGATTTCGTCCAGGATAATGACCGCCAGGTTCAACTCCAAAGGAAGGAAAGTGTCAATCATACAATGTTATGCACCCACAAACAACGCAGACCTCGAGAAGAAAGAAGAATTCTACAGGCAACTACAGGCAACAATGGACAATACTCCAGCTGGCGACATGAAAATACTAATGGGAGACATGAACGCCAAACTGGGACCAGACAATACGGGAAGGGAACTCATCATGGGTAGAGAAGCTCTAGGAGAAATGAATGAAAACGGAGAACTCTTCGCCGACTTCTGCGCCTTCAACGAACTGGTGATTGGTGGCAGTGTATACAAGCACAAAGATA